ATTATTATTATTATTATTATTATTATTATTATTATTATTATTATTATTATTATTATTATTATTATTATTATTATTATTATTATTATTATTATTATTATTATTATTATTATTATTATTATATTATTATTATTATTATTTAGCTTTATGTATATCAAAAGAACTTAACGCAATTTCTCCATGAAGGTTGACGTATGAGTTATGACAGAATCAAGAGGTTTATTTTACATTTTCATTATATGATTCTTATTCATTTTGGATTTTCCTATCAAGTACTCTCATTTTAAGAGTTTTAGGTTGTAATATAATATGAATATGGATAATAAAATTGATTTAAAAAAAACGTTAATGCAGCTGACCGAAATCCATCTCTCCTTTTTCTTTCTTCATATTTTTTTTTCTCGTGGGGTATATGCAGTGCTGTCTCAGAGGGTGTTCCATTGAAATTGGAAGGACCTCATAAATAATTTAAAATTATATTTTTTATCTAAATTTAAAAGAAATATAAATACAAAAACATTTAATAGTAAAAAAATATATTAAAAAAAACTATAAATTTTAATAATTAAATAATTTGATTCTCAATATTTTCAAAATATAAATTTAATTAATAACTTTTATAGGACCTCGAAAATATTTGAGACGTCTTGGTATATAGAGGAGCTTGTCTCTGTTGCTACTTAGAATTAGTAAATGAAACAAATTTTTTCCACAACAACGTTATAAAGACACAAACGAGAGCAAGAAAAAAAAACTGACCCACATGTCTGCAGTTGACTCATGGGCGGATCTAGAAAAATATTTAAGAGGAGGCACAATTTAATTTCAATATTTATATGGGGGCATTTAGGTAATGTATTTAAAATTTTATAAAATTTATAAGAAAAATTACCATATTTTTATTGGATCAATGGGGGCATATGCCCCCACTCTTATTAACTTGGGTCCGTCCATGGTCGAGTGGTGCCTTTGGCGTTGGTAGTGGGGATGTGTCCCCTCCAGGTCACGGATTCGACTCCAGACATGCGGGGAGGGAGAAGTGTAGCCAAAACATGTGTGTTTAAAGGTTGCTCTCGGGTCTGGAAAAATGTAGGTCGGGTTGAAGGTCCCGGTGAACTTCTCGATTTGACCAAAAAAAAAAGGAAAAAAAACTGAAAAACAAGAGAAGATTAATTACCTTCCTATATACGAAACGACTGCGATATTGTCGTTTCGGGGCGGAACGTTTCAGGTTGGGCTTAACATTGATATTGGGCCGAAACAAATGCCTTTTGGGCTACTTTTTTCACCTTTGATTCGGCTCGGATCAATCAACGAATTGAAATGATATATATATATATATATATATATATATATACCAATTAATTAAATAAAAAATAAAATAAAAAATAGGACCTCGAAAATATTTGAGACGTCTTGGTATATAGAGGAGCTTGTCTCTGTTGCTACTTGGAATTAGTAAATGAAACAATTTTTTTCCACAACAACGTTATAAAGACAACTGAAAAACAAGAGAAGATTAATTACCTTCCTATATACGAAACGACTGTGATATTGTCGTTTCGAGGCGGAACGTTTCAGGTTGGGCTTAACATTGATATTGGGCCGAAACAAATGCCTTTTGGGCTACTTTTTTTCACCTTTGATTCGGCTCGGATCAATCAACGAATTGAAATGATATATATATATATATATATACCAATTAATTAAATAAAAAATAAAATAAAAAAGCATGCATTGGTGGATCTTTATTAATTCGGCTATTTAGTTATATGCTATAATTGTGTTCGGCCGTAACAATCAAGAGGTCGCTGTAGTAGTTGTATAGGGCCGTCACCGGTCCTCTGTATAAAATTTTGATTGCCCAGCCCAGTAATGGATATATATATATAATATAAAACAAGAAATAATGGGAAACAAAGTGAAAAAAATAAATTAGAAAATAAAAATAAAATCGAAGGAGAGCCAAGTTTACAAGCAAATGATACAGGCGTGGTGGGCCTCTTGGCTTTCTCATGGACGTACACACCCTCCTCCTATACGTGCATGAACTTTTGTCACACCCTTCGCCATCACATTGAAAATAATATTATTAAATTTTAAATTTGACAAAAATAATTAAAGCAAAAAGTTTTTTAAAAAAAAAGAAGATGATAAATTCGAATCCTCCTTTGTTCTCATCGGGATCGACGCAGTCCATGAAAGAGAGATTTCATGAAGCATGCACGAATTATATAAAACAATGGCCCCTTAAAAACGCTTTATTCCATTTTGGATTTTCTTTGGCCCCACATTGCTTTTATAAATATAAATTTAATCTTGCTTTTTTTTTATGTTTAATTATACACTGTAAATCAATCTCACTCTAAAAATATTCTGCATCGATCATTGGTATTTAGGCAGACATTATTAATGTTTTATATTATATGCACGATCCTTCCCGGTACTAGGAATTCATATTTAGTTTATTACCTAAACATGTTTCTACGGATACCCAATTCGAATAAATATATTATGTGCACTTATGATGATTGTATGTGCACTTATGATGATTGTATATTTAGTTTATATGCGCATTTAAAACCAAAAATTGTTTATAACCCAATAGTTGGTGGTTCAGTGGGTGAGAGGTAATAAAGTCATCCTCAAAATCTTGGATTCGATTCCACTTATAGAGAGGGATATAATTTCTGGACCAAAAATGATCTATATACAAAAGTTGCTCTCGGACCTAGAGTGAATGTAGTCGGATCAAAGGTTCAGAAACTATCTTGATTAAAAAAAATTATTTTTTTATATGATATTTATGCATAATGAAAATTATGGGAGGTAGAAGTTAAATATATATGATATAAGAAAATGTTTTTCTATTATTCTCATTAACAATAGAACATAAATATATACATATATGCAGTGAACGACTAAGGGATGAATAGTCCGTATTCTAGACAACATATTAAAAAATATATAAAATTAGGAATGTGATTTGAAAATAATATCATGACAGATATTATTTCATATCGTTATATAATGTTTAGGATATTGGATATAATAGAAAAATAAGCATTTCAAGACAAGATTTTGTATTTTCTTTTTTAATTACCATACTTTACGCACGTGACCGCAGTCCACTCCATTAAATTTAGTCTTTCTTTACATTTGGGGATTCGTGACACGGATTTAATTATTTACAATATTATAATAAAAATTGTCTTTTCCACTTTTAATTATTTAATACTCGCTAGCGTTAATAAACAAAGCTCCAAGTCTCTGTCTCTCGTACACATGATGCATTCAATGGAATTTAGTATATGGAATTTTCAAGTAAATACATGCATTTAATTAATTATAAAAAATATTATAATATTTGAGGATTTGCTTTATCAAGAGGAATAATTTATGAAACAAAACCAACATTTTTATGCCAATCCCATATAAATGTTATTCAATATTGTACTTCTCCGATCCTCACAAATATATAGTTAAAACGAAAACTAGATATGTAATATTTCAGTTCTCCGATCCTCACAAATATATAGTTGAAACCAAAACTCGATACGTAATATTTCAGTTTATAAATTTCCAGATTATCAAAAAAAAAATCTCGGCAAATGTTTTGAAAAAGACTCACAAATGTTTTGAAAAAGACAAAGGAATCATGATTTGTGTGTTCACACGTAGATAGATTCCCATGCACACGATATTTTTTAAAAAAAGGAATATAAATTGTTGGAATTATTGTTTTGCAGTTGGCATGGTTTCACACGTAGAGAAGAAACCTTGTTCATACGGGGTAGACAAACGGGTTAACTGCAGAACCGGTAACAAGAGACACGTATGAAAGCGTCTATCCTCTTTGTCGGACCAAACCCCCTAGTAATCATTTCACTTATTAACCCAATAATCGAGTTTGAATCGAATTGAATAAGACATAATCATATCCGAACCGAATCCGATATCAAAATCGAACGGTTATAATTTTTTTAAATCCAACAAAATTAAAACCGAACCGAATCGAACCAAATAAAAAAATAACCGAAAAACCGACAATTTCTTTGAAAAATAAACTTTTTATCAAAACCGAACCGAAACATAACCGAACCAAACCGAAATTTATATAAAAACCGAATGGTTATAGTTTTTCTATAAACAAAATAATTGAATCCGAATATAACCGAACCGAAATCCGAATTGGCCAGCCCTATCCCTAACTAGTCTGTGACTGTATGTCATGAAGTCTTATGTCCACCTACAATCGCCGGTCATCCTTTTCTTCCCTTTTTCTTTCTGCGAGAGAATCCACCTTATTAACCCCTCTCCTCTCTCGCCAAATCTCACCAGTTTTCTCACTCGTTCTCTGTCTGTATATCTTTCTGGTCAATGTCTTCCACTTTCTGTTTCGATGCGTTTTCTCATCTGGGTCTGATCGATTTGTGGGGGAGAGAGAGAAAAATGGAGAATACTGGTGTCGGAACGCCGTCGAAGAGCGTGTGGGATTTGGGCGAATTAGCGGAGAGGAACTCGCTAGGGTTCATGGAGTTGCTGGGTGTGCATCATGATCTCGACCCTTCTTCCCTGTTCGATACGTCCCCGCCGTCCCCAACACAAGCGGCCTCGAAATTGGAACCTTCGTGCTGGGATGCGGTAGCGACTCCCAATTCGTCATCGATCTCATCGACGTCGAGCGATGCTGTTAACGAGGGGAAAGTGAAGGGGGAGGACGATGAAGAAGAAGAAGAAGGAGAAGAGCAGCAGGAGAAGAGAGCTACGAAGAAGCAGTGAGTCTCGGTTTCTACTTTTTGTTTTCACTGTTTTTTTTCTCCTTTAAAAGTTCCAATTTTTTAATCGTAAGCAGAAAGGAAACAAATTGAAGGGGAAGATAATCAGTGACTCTGATGGTGCAGGTTGAAACCGAAGAAGATTAACCAGAAGAGAAAGAGAGAGCCGAGGGTGGCGTTCATGACAAAGAGCGAGGTTGATCATCTCGAAGATGGTTACAGATGGAGAAAGTACGGACAAAAAGCCGTCAAGAACAGCCCTTTTCCTCGGTACTCACCACATCAAGAGACATCACTTTTTTTTTTCGATCAAGAGTTTTTGCAATAATCTCCGACGTGTTTGGAACTGCATTAAATGTTTATTTGTTTGTTTGTTTTCTTTTGCAGGAGTTACTACCGTTGCACCACGGCGACGTGTGACGTGAAGAAGAGGGTGGAGAGATCATTCACGGACACGAGCATAGTGGTGACGACGTACGAGGGTCAACACTCTCACCCAAGTCCTCTTATGCCTCGTCCCTCCTTCTCCGGCGGCTTATTCTCCTCCGGTCGGAGCTTCGTCCTTCCTATACAAAACTCCTCCATACTTTCGTCTGACGTCCTAAACGGGTATGATCATGTGAAGAAGAGTCGGGATGATGCTGGTTTAATGGTGAAAGACCATGGCCTTCTCCAGGATCTTGTCGCCTCTCACATGTTGAAGGATAATACTTAGGTTTAATTATTTGTAATTAATCGTCACAAGAAAGAACCGATCTTTTCCTTCACCGGAAGGTCGTGCTTTGTAATATGAGCAGAGATATTGTAATGGTAGTTAACGTTAAGCCGACAGGTCCCACCAAAACTATTTCTATTCATCTCGCAAGAACTAAGACACTATTTTGATTCGTAGACAAGAGGCTGACAGTTGGTTCTTGTTCTTGTTCTAAAGATGAGTAAAACTTTCTTGTCGAATTCTTAAAAAAAAAAATGTTCACTCCTTAATCAAGTTTTTTTTTTTGCAAGAGGGATGTGAACTGACGTCATTGAGAAAGTACAACAAGCAATCAATCAAGATTCTGAACAGTGTTAGGGTTTCCCTTCTTCACCCGCAGAGATATACGAAGGAAAGCCATTGATGATATCACGACTTCCTTTTTTTTTTTTTTGGTTTTGTATGGGGAAATCGAACTTTGCTTTAATGGGCAAAAGTAAAATATAATTGAAGTAACAGTTTTAATATAATTGAGATATTTATGTTCATAGGAGGATAGCGAAAATCGGAAACATAGCTCCAACTCTTTTTTCCAAACATTGACTAATTTTTTCCCCACTTGGGGCTTTCACACTGTTCCATTATTACACCTCTCGGGGGAAAAAGAGACTTGTGAGATGCCTTTTACTCTCTTTTTTACTGTTCACCATCTTGGTTTCTATTTTCTATAAGCAAAAGGGGAAAAAGAGACATTTTGAGGCTAAATCGAATAAATTATGAACCTTCATTAAAGTTATCAACAGGGACATATGAACTAATAATATCCATGTTAGTCGTTTTTGGAATCTATTCCTCCGGTTTATAAAAAAATGCGTCTAATAAAATATGATTTAGATTCAATTTCCTTCACGACCATAAGGCCCAAATGACCCATGGATGTTACAAGACAACTAATGTTCATGGGGATGGTCTTCTCTGAATCTTAGTTACAAGATTTGGAATTTGTTATATTACTTCCCCTGTACGTATAGGCTTTTACTCATCAGACAAAAGGGTAAAAACTCACACCAAGAGAGAAAAAAAATGTACAGTGGAGATAATAATACTACCCACACACACACAGGCTTCAAGAAAGGTGAGAAGAAAGGGGAAGAAACAAGTTACCATGCAAATGAACTTTTTGGCTTTCCCACCCATGTGTGTGTGAGAGAGAGAGAGAGGGAGGGGGAGAGAGAGCGCGCAAAAAAGAGAGAAAAAAAGGAAGAAGAAGTTACAAAAGAACAGAAGGAAGCAAAACTGTCACATGAGGTAATAACTTTTTGTCGATTTGTCTTGAGAGTGGAGAGTGACACTCCAGCAGAAGTAATCATTGTCCAGACACCAAAGGATTACACACCGAAAGCAAAGAGTAACGTACCTAAAGGGCAGTGCCTTGACCGGAGGTGGAGGCTCAAACAAAACTCTGGTTGGTTAAGTTAACCAAACTCAAACTATGGTTAAGCTCAGAACCACACTGCAAGATCCAAAGATACATGCAAAGAGAGGCTCAAAGCTCATTCCTTGAAAGCATTGATTCACAGACCACCATCATTATGCCTAAAGGCCATGTAAAGGTTGATTTAGCACTAAATGCCTCATAGCATATGCCTACAGGCCATGGATGATATTTTTTTCTACAACACATAAATGAAGAGAACAATAAACAAAATACGGATATTTAGTATTTACCAAAAAAAAATCCAAGTCATGAGAGGCCCTGAAATCAACTTCCTTTTTCGTTATATCCCTTCTTTCCTCGGCTTCTCCTTTCAGCTCACTGCTTCACCCTTGTTACATTGAACTAAACAAATGAAGCAGAATTTAGAAAGAAAAAAAAAAATCAAATGCTTGAAAATATATGAGACTCCAACAATATATCAGTAAAATCAACTTTTGATACCTGATACCCTTATTAAGAACACGAGGCCCCAACAGCTACACTTGTTACAGGCTGTTCTAAATTACTCTCCTGATCCTGGACAATGAATTCAGTACGTGAAATATGCAAACATGGACGAGAGAGAGAGAGAGGTCGGGCTGAAATGAACTCTGACCGTTGTGGGCAAGGAAGGTTGCTGGAGTTCACCACTCTGTAGCGAGAGATCAACATCGGTTTGCAAAAGTCCAACACTTTGTTTCTGATCATTAGTTTGCTCTGGTCCAGTGCTCTCATCATTCTGCTCCAGCCCACCACTCTCTTGCGAGTTATGCGCAGAGAAGGTTTTCTCTAGTTCAACACTCTCTTGCGAGAGATGAGAATCAGCTGGCTCACGTCCTGTACTTGGGTGCAAGGGAGAAACATCAGTTTTCTCTGGTCCAACACTCGGTTGCGAAAACAGAGCATCCATTTGCTTGGGTCCAACTCTCTCTTGCGAGAGAAAAGCCTCAGTTTGCTCGGGTCCAGTACTCTCTTGCGCAAGATGAGCATCAGTTTGCTCTGGTCTGAAACTTGGTTGCGAGAGCTGGCCATCAGTTTGCTCTGGTCCAGCTCTCTGTTGCGAGGAAAGAGAATCAGTTTGCTCTGGTCCGATACTCTGTTGTGAGAGATGATCATCAGTTTGCTCTGGTCCAACACTCTGTTGAGAGAGATGAACATCAACTTGCTCTAGTCCAGTGCTATTATGTTGAGAGAGATGAGCATTGGTTTGCTCCTCTCTGTTTGCGACTGCCTCTTGGCTCTGACAATTTGATGAAGGAGATTGATGTTTTGGATCTTGCAAGTCTGTATGCTCATCTAACCATTTCTCAAACAACGTGTATTCCTTAGGCATCTCCCACTGCGTTTTGATCCATACTACTACCAGTAAGTAGACAAGAGCAGGAAGGAGGACACAATTTTAAACAGGGAAGGGAAGGGACATACCGTGCTTTGGCAGGATACACAATTGTAGTAATACCTGTACCCATCTGGACAAGTGTGTTCACTCCAGTCGCACTCTGGTGTACTTGTTTTTGGATCTTCACTTGAATTGCTAGCAATTATCTGAGCATCACTTCTAGTCTACAAAGAGTTGTAACACATTGAGCTCAGGCCAGACACAATTGTAATTGTTGGACATTCATATTCTAGAACCTAAACATATAAAAACAGGATGCTTATACTCAAGATCGGCTAGGGTATGCATGCAACTCAGGACATATTTTCAAGAAGTTGATTTATTTTTTGCATAAGGTAAACTCATGACTTGTGCAGTATTATGGAGATTTATGTCTTGGGAAGTACCTCTAAGCAGGGAACCTCGGGTTTCTGCTGTTGATGCTGCTCAGAATTCTGAGATGGAATGTCTTGATGTATCTGTTTATGAACCTCAGAATCGGATGCTGCTTGAACAGTCTGCTGCTGGAACTGAGTCGGCTGTAAAGAGAAATCATGTCTAGGACCTCCAACTTCTCTATGATTCCCCCATTGGGGAAATCCTTGTGGGTACCAATGTGGATCACATTGTTGCATTGTAGGTGCAGCATTAGGTGTAGATCTGAATCACATTACAGATATAAGTTAAACCAAAGAAAACACATGCATGTTGGTTAAAAATGGACACCCTTTGATAGACTTCGATGCTTTAGTCCCATGTTTGCTTAACAAAGTTCCAAATTTTTAACACTTCAGCTATTATATATCTATGTGATAAATCAATAGTTCTCTGACATGGCAATAATGTTAGTTAAAAACTGGTAAGACAATGTAAGAACTCAAAACCTTGGTTCTCCTAGACGCGGTTTTTTAGGATCCGCAAATTTAACAGTTAATGGCTGATCAGAACCCTGAAATTACCAAAAAAAGAAAAAAAAAATAAACAGAAAATGAAGGATGTTAAATATCAAGGCATAGTTAAAACATTGAGGGATGGATCCCAGCATTGTGTGAATTACCCTCATTGTGAAGACACCATTTAAACCTTGGATTGCGGCTAGTGCCATTTCCCTACGAGAAAACTGAACAAAAGCGTATCCTGCAGAGAGCATACTTCAGCGTGTTAGAAACAAATAACAAACAACATAAACTACATACGTATGATCAAATTCCAGGCACAACTAGTGGAAAACAAGACAATTATGTATAGATGTCAAAGTAAAACCAGCGGGTTTGATTTTAGGAACTAAAATAATGGTTTATCTGGTGACTTACACACAGCTTTAATATAAATCCTATTTCCTTCATTTTTAATTAGCCAATTTTTCTAAGAGAACTGTCACAAAAGTTTACAGGGTAAACTAAATTAACTATCAAAAGAATTTCTCATGGTAATTTTCTTTTGAAAATCAAATGCTAGCATATAGAGCAAAGGATTAACTAACTAGAAGTTCTAAACTCATTTATTGAGCAAATGAAAACTCGATCTACATGAGGAAAAACATAGAAATAACACACTGAACCAGGATACTGCCAGCCAGATGTAAGCAATACAAGATGCAAATCATGCAAGAGCACTGAACAAACCCCGACTTTGCTTCTGCCCATCAAGTGCCATATAAATATCCTCAATAACACCATAGCTCGAAAACACCTGATATTATTTGACCATCCACCCAAATTCAAATGAAAAAAGGGGAGAGGAGTCAGAAGACAACAAGATATTGTCTAAAACTAAAACCAAAAAGAAAATCTTTTGCACATAACTTTTTTAATTTCCACAGACAAAAAAAAGGTCAGAGAAACTGAAAGTTGAAGCTAAATAGATTACTGCTATACCTCATGGAGCTCCGGTTTCGTTGTTTGTTTGCTGAGGCATCCGACATATAGCTTATCTGGAATTTGCACTGAGACAAAACAAATATACTCAGGCCAAAATTGACGAATTGTCTGACTTGGGCATGCATGAAAATCGCTAAGTGAAAAAGGAGTACCGACAAAATTTCATTATGCTTAGGAAACACTTAACTCCAAAATTACCAATCCTCTGTTCATTTTGATTCAGTTAGATCTAAATTTCCTCTCCCAAAGTAGAACAGCAAAAGCACCTCATGTTTTACAAAGAATGGAAAATACTAAGAGATTTTCCAAGCATACTTCCATAATGATAATAGAAGATCAAATTGAACAAAGACATCTGCTGAGTCTGAAAAGAAACAAAAAGAAGCAAAGAAACCTAATCTATGAACATATTTGTTGTGACATGCCAGGGCCAACAGATGAAGACTTTGCTATTCTTACCGATGCGTTCCCGTTCCCCATCAGCATATCTGACTTTGACAGGAGCCACTTCCTGAAAATAACTAAATAATTTTGAGTGAGAGAAAATCTCCAAACTTGAATGGGGATACTGTTTACAAAATTCTGCAAGCCAAGACCCACTCCAGGAAAGGTATACTGGTCCTGTAAAGCTGCAATGGCCCTGTCACCCTCTACTATTGTTTTGTACTTAACGAAACAGTAACCTGTAAGGGGACAAGAAGAATGTTATGCAAAATGTGAATAATGAAGCTTAACCTCCAGAAGCAGGAAAAAAATAATGAATTGCAGAAAGAGCACAGAAAAAAAACAATCAAGTAATTGCCAAAATAAGATTCTATAATGTAGTAATTTACCTGCTCGCTCGCCAGTTCTCTTATCTCTGGGTAGAATGATCTCAGTAACATTTCCATGTTCTCTGAACACGTTCCGAACCTGGTAAATAAAGAACACAATCAGAAGTTAAATGGGATGATAGTCAGCATGATGTAGATGCTAAGGTAAGAATCGCACGAAAAAAAACAAGCAAGCATAAAATTTTAGTCAGGAGTCATTAGATCTTGTAAAGAAATCATACTTCTTGTACTGGATATGAATGAGTGGGGTTATATTTCATGTTTCTCTGAAGATATTCATTAGCAACTTGTTTTGTACATCCTATTGTCTCATATGGAATCCAAGATGCTGCATATTGATATTGCGCATAGACTTTGAAGGGAACATATGAAGAAACTACATCGTAGTAGCACCAGAAACTCACCTCATCTTCGGTAGCTGTTCTTGGAACTGGGGCAACATAGAGTTTGGCATTACCACCATCGGTGGGATCTACATGTCGCAAAACCCAGACCAGAAAAATCTCAGAATTGTATCAAAGAACACAGAGGTACCAGATGAAAAAGGATGCATTGACGATAATCCTAAACCCCGACAAGAATCGTTTTTTAACGGTCAAGTTCATTATTTTACACCTGAAATGCCCACGACTCGAACTCAACCGATGCATCAGGACACGAACATACATCTTCAAACTTAAACCAGAGTACAATCCAATCCAGCAGCCACGTCGAAAGGAATCACAAGATGCATTGTCTTAAAATCGGACAGAAAAACAAAACCTGGGGATGCTCCGGTAATGGATTCCGAACGGCGCTTCCTAACGCCGCCATGTGGACCATAACCTCCGCCGTAAAAGGGGCCGTTATGATCAACCACCATATTCTGGTGACCGGAGTAGTGATCGTAATGCGGCTGGTTGAAACGCTGATCTCTGCTGTCGTTTTGGCCGTAGGGTTGGTAGCCGACGGCGGCGACATGGTGGTGATGGTGATGGAACTGGTGGTGGTTGTAGTTGTTGTGATAGTACGGATCTTGGGGGCCATTGAAGGTGTTCGCAGCGCCTCTGTCCATCGAACCCTAACACAAGTTCGTACGAATTCGTCTCAGATGACGAGAATATCAGACCGGAGAATCTTTTCCGATGACTGCGACAACGACCACCGCCGGCGAGAGCGAGAGCGAGAGAGAGTCAGCCCTAGGAATTGCAGAACCGAATCAATAGCACTCACTCACCGATGTGATGAGTCTCGTGGGATTTGATTTACCAAACCAGACGACGACGTCGTATAGAGCCGCCGGTAAAGTTAGTCAATCACACGGTAGAAGATTTTGAAACGACGTCGTTTGGCTCGATGAACGCTGCTTTCGCTTATTCACTGTTTTCTTTCCTAAAGAAATACGGAGTTTTGATATTGACCCATATATGAGGAGGCGTGAATCTTTTTGTAATATGGATTTTGAAATGTAAACATAGTAAGAAGGACGATCAGTTAACTTATGAACAATGAAACAAGAGAGGTCTTGTCCGTGCAAAACGAGAGAGAACGCGAAAGAACAAACATTGACCAGATAACTCTAAGGATGATACATCGATTATTGGAAGAAGTTCAAAGAGAGAGACTATAAGAGTTTGGAATTGAGGAATGTGACAGTAAAGCGTTGTTTTTAACTTGCAATATAAGGCTCCCCATAACAAGGAACCCGAGGAATTGACTACTTTCTTGTTGAGGCCCGTATCTCAGACACATGCCATCTATGCCTGCAAATTTGCAATTCACACTCAGAATTCGATTCCATAACCACTCAACAAGGTTAAAAGTATCAACTTTCTACTAGGATGGCCATTTCGAATTCAGTTCGATTTTCTGTTTTAAAGAAATCATAGTCATTCGGTTTTTTATATCAGACTCGGTTCAGTTACGCGTTATTCGGTTTTTGTCTGTTTGGTTAATAATCAAAATATCAAATGGGCCAAGCCTAGAGATTACCTTGTTTGCGATGTTGTTTGAGAGCCAGTCCAGACCCTCGTAGAGCCCTTCACCGGATGTGGCACATGTGCTCTGGATGTACCTGTTACATCGAATATTATCAGACATGATGGACATCCCACCCAGTTTTAAGGTTTCCCAATTCCGTTTTTGTTTTGTTTTAGGATTACCAGTGCCGTTGACGGAGAGAGTGAAGTCCGAGCTTGTCAGTGATCTCGGCAGCGTTCATCGCATTGGGCAGGTCTTGCTTGTTAGCAAAGACAAGCAGAACAGCATCCCTCAACTCATCCTGCAGATACAACACTTAGGGTTGATTTTTCCGTAAATAGATGGGGGGGGGGAGATTTTGAGTTTGTTTTTATTTACCTCATTCAGCATTCTGTGAAGCTCGTCTCTGGCTTCAACAACACGGTCTCTGTCGTTGCTGTCAACAACAAAGATAAGCCCCTGGGTGTTTTGAAAGTAATGTCTCCACAATGGACGGATCTATATGAGCGAGCAAGAAAAATTCATACGTTTAAAAAAGTTAATCAACTATGACATCCAGTATAACTATAAGCGCTTCTTAAATGACTAAAAACAGTACATGCAACAAAAACAGAAATATCTAGGAATTTCAGCCAGCAAAATGTCATCCCTGAGACAATCAAAGGATGCTGTTAGAATTGCTGGCAGATATTGATTTAGCTTATCAATTGTAGAGTGACGGTATACGATTCTAATACCAGCACTGGACCTAGACAATCAGCATATGCCATATGAATCGATCAGCAGCCATTTTTTGCTGGACCATAATCATATAAAACCGAACCGTGTGTGTGCCTTAGACAGACACAAATGATCCTTCCAGAAATTTAAATAAGAACAAACATTTCAAAGTGTGTAACTGCAATAAGAAATGACAATACCTTGTCCTGACCCCCAACATCCCAGACTGTAAAGCTGATGTTCTTGTATTCCACTGTCTCCACATTGAACCCTGATACAACAATGGTAGTCATCCAAGCATTCGGTTAATCGTACTTAGAAACCACAACAACAGAGATGTCGAGACACATTATTTCGAATTACTCACCAATGGTGGGAATAGTGGTAACAATCTCTCCAACTGCTGAACAACTTCCCGAAAGACAGCCCCATTTTCCGAGCCTGCTGCAGCAACAAATTCATAATTCAATTCAATACACATTCTTATCGCATTTTAACAAAAAACAAAAGCATTCATCAATTCTGAAAACAATTCCAGGAAACCCGTATCTGTAGACACAACACAACCCACAAGCCTTCCGCTTACGACGTTCTCCTGGTTACATAACGTTTGCCAGATCCCAACCGTATTCGTAGGTCCGGATCAAATCAACAACACGATTCCACGGATGAGATCTAATCCCAGAGAACCATCCACTCATATTGAGATACCAAACCTGAACAGCCTGATCTACGAAACTAATTCAGATCACCGCACATCTCAACCATGCATGTACAGATCCAGTATTTCCGAGGAAAATTCACGAGATAAAAAATGAATCGAAAAGAAAAACTGAAGAACACACGCAGATCTAGAAACGGTGAGCCATAAACGAAAGCCTGGAAGAAATCGCTGAACCAAAAACCCGACAAAAGGAGCAGTAAACAGGTACGTACAGAATCGGAAAGAAAAGACAGACTCACCGAAGAAAAACCACAGCGCTCGAGATCTAGTTCGCCTGCCGCCGAATCGCCGATGACCCTTGCAAATGCTCTTAACAACGTTATTGGAACATTTGTGGAAACCACTTTGTGCTTATTTTATTAGATAATAATTTAGCCACGTATCACAAGCGGGGATAGCTCAGTTGGGAGAGCGTCAGACTGAAGATCTGAAGGTCGCGTGTTCGATCCACGCTCACCGCATTTTTATCGACCGCTTATTTTTTGTTTCGACGTTTCTGTCCAGACCCTCTCATTCTCTAAGAGGTTTCTTTCCTTCTAAATCTCGATGGGTTTCATAGGCTTCTAGCAACTACAATTATCAATATATCAATCTGCGGCAGCATCATAAATTCATTTTAATTTGGTATCTAATATCCATTATAGACCTTAATGATTTGACATAAAATATTAAAAAAAATCAGAAAACTGTTTTAGTTGTAACATCTTGCTATTATTAATATTCAACTAACAAAATTTACTAACATATTCCCCTTTCTTTACACCCCCAAGCAAAACACGAATTTCTCAACCAAAAAATAAAAAGGAATGGGATTAGTGTTCTTATTACCCTCTTCATTGCTCCGAGTGTTTTTCATCGTCCAAATCGTCTGCCTTTGCACGTGCGTCCAATCGCAATGCAAAAGGAATCCGGTCCTATTCAATTTCGGAGATTCCAACTCTGACACGGGAAGTTCTGACTATGGACTCGGTCAAACCGTCGCTCCTCCGTACGGACGCACGTTCTTCCATCATCCCGCCGGAAGACCCAGCGACGGAAGATTAATTATCGATTTCATATGTGAGTTTCATTTATATATATCATATGTGTGTTTGATTATATATATTAAAAAAAAAGACAAAAAGAGTGATGGATTCAAAGCAATTCCTTTTGCAGGTGAGGGCTTGGGAGCAAGTTTTTTAACACCATATTTAGAACCTATAGCGCCGAATTTCACAAGCGGGGCCAACTTTGCTCTAAGCGGTGCTGCCATCTTGTCAAGACCAAAACCTTTCAACGTCGATGTTCAGCTTGCCCAGTTCCTCCATTTCCGTAACCGTTCCGCCTTACTAGCCTCCCAAGGTATGACAGGCTTCTCCGTACATACATATATATATATATATATAACACATTCCGATATTGTGGTATATATATGTGTGTGCAGGTTACAGAGGCTTAGTAAGGGAGGAAGAATTCTCGAACGCCTTGTACACGCTCGATATTGGTCAGAACGATCTCGCGGCCTCGTTCCTTAACCTAACGTTCGATCAAGTCGTGGACAAAATCCCTTCCTTCATGGCGGAATTGAAAAATACGATCAGGGCAAGTTATTATCCATATCCTTGCCCACATCGTTTCTTGCGCCCCAAGTAACCATTAACCCTAATTAATGGCTAATGTATGTCGTCGTCATTTTTCAGGTTATATACGATCATGGGGGAAGAAACTTCTGGGTCCATAACACAGGGCCGCTAGGATGTGTCCCTCTCATGCTGACGTTAATCGAGCACGTCCCCACCGATCTCGACGTGAACCGTTGCCATAAGAACATGAACGAAGCTTCGAAGATATTCAACGATCAGCTTAGAGCGGCTTGCGACGAACTCAGGTCGGATTTGGAGGGCGTTACGGTTGTTTACGTCGATATTCATTCCATCAAATTCGATCTCATCGCCAATGCTACGAAATACGGTAAATAAATACGTATATCATCTATGGTTAACCCGTATTTTCATCAGAATGACCGTATAACGGGAAGAATAAGAATTAACAATTTTACTAAAACTCCTAAATAGGAAAATTGGAAAGCATTTAGAAAATGATTTACACTTAAAACTCTCTTTGATTTCTTTGTTTCTGCTTGATGGTACAATGAATTGAGGGGATATTAATTTATAATCCACGGATACGACTAATTAATCATATAAAAATCTCACAATAAAGCATTCTAATATAGATTTTTCTATTAAATTCAAAAAAAATATTATAAATTCTACTGTACATGGTCTTATTTCCTTTTGTCTTGATCTTGTGTATCTATTAGTCTAGTTCAAACTTATTGAATCTAGGGATTATCTAGATTTTCATTGTTCTTATAACATCTTATAGAAATTTGATCTAAATTAATTTTTTTGTTTTGTTCAATTTATTGAATCAATGACCCAAACCACAAAATTAATTTGGTTAGAAAAAAACATTAGCCCAAAAATCAAGTATATTCTCAATACTTTTACATTCAAATCGTAATTAGAGTTTGACAGAACATATTCAATTTTTTTATAATTTGAAAGTTCAATATATCTTTGATTTAATTATATCTTCTAAAAGACTAAAAGATAGGAAAAGTATGAATGAATCTTTCTCTCCATATGAATATTTGAACTCAAGATTTGGAAGAAGTTTTACTCCGTTTTTTACTAGTTGAACCATCCAATCTGGGGTAACATATTCAATTTATGTATACAGGGTTTGAGGATCCGTTCATGGCGTGCTGTGGCTCGGGCGGTCCGCCGTACAACTTCAGGTTCGGGGCTCAGTGCGGCCAAAACGGCTCGACGGTCTGCACGGAAGGGTTGAAGTACAACAGCTGGGACGGCGTTCACCTCACCGAAGCCGCGAACCATTTCATCTCATCCAAATTACTCTCCACCAATTACTCTTCCCCTCCGCTTCCCCTTAACCATTTCTGCAACTAACTAATAATCATTTATGATTTATCTAATACACACTAATTAATGACCTAATGATGATTGTAATATCACCGTAATAAGAAACTTAAGATAATACACCAATTGGGCCACGTATTGTTTGCTTGTTTAGATATTTAAGAGAAAAAATATTGCAACTTGAAATAATACATGTTCTCATCACGTGAATGCCCTTTCCTCGTGTCCCGTGATCTATACACACACATATATACAATATACACACATGCATGCATATGATGATGTTGGATATTAAAGAAAGACCAGTTGACGAAACTACTTGACGTACATGACTATGTTTTTCTTATAACAAGACAGGTTGACTTTCGAATGTGATCATTAGTTCCAAGATTCAATAAAAACCAGATCTTTGATCTTTGACCGTCAGTGATCGAGAAATGGGTCATTGGCATTTTCTCCATTGTCTGGTGATTCTGTGTTTTTGTCTTGTGGGTTGTAGCAAATCGGAAAGTGATGATGGAAGGAAGAATCCGATTCTTATAAACTTCGGAGACTCGAACTCCGACACCGGAGGAGTTCTCGCCGGCGTCGGACTACCAATCGGACTCCCTCATGGAATCACCTTCTTCCACAGAGGCACCGGCCGCCTCGGCGATGGCCGCCTCATCCTCGACTTTCTCTGTAATTCATTCCTCAACACTCTCTCTCTAGACCCCCTCTTTCTCTCTCTTTCTCTCTCTATATATATATATATATGTATGTGAAAATGATGAATTATATGGATAGGTGATCATTTGAAGATTGGATATATGAGTCCATATTTGGACTCACTGTCACCGAATTTCACGAGCGGAGTGAACTTCGCGGTCTCAGGCGCGACCGCCTCTCCTCTCTCCTTCGTTGCGTTTCCCCTCTCCATCCAAATCCGTCAGTTCATCCGTTTCAGAAATCGATCCCTCGAGCTCCACTCTTCCGGTGATTAATTATATCATTTTTGTTTTCATAAACACATTTACATTATTTATATAACATAATCTCTCTTTATTGACTTCTATATATACATACTACCCTCTTTACAGGCCGACAAGATCTTATGGGCGAAAACGGATTCCGAAACGCTTTGTACATGATCGACATCGGACAGAACGACCTTTTACTTGCGTTGTACGATTCTAACCTAACGTACACACCCGTCGTACAAAAGATCCCTTCCATGCTCCTCGAAATAAAAAAGGCCGTTCAGGTGGCTTCGTGGTCTCCATTCTCGTACATTGTAGAAAATGTTTATACCGTGACTAACACGTGTCGAAACCGTATATTTCTGCATGGAGAGCGTATATTTGTACGGAGGGAGGAAGTTTTGGATACACAACACGGGGCCGATGGGATGCGCGCCGAAGGAGTTGGCTCTGCATCCGCATAACGAATCGGATCTTGACCCGATCGGCTGCATTCGGGTTCACAATGACGTGGCAAAGGCCTTCAACGCTGGCCTTCGCCGTCTCTTCAAAGAAGTGAGATCCCAATTCAAAGATGCCACTTTTGTCCACGTCGACATCTACTCCATCAAGTACCGTCTCTTCTCCAACTACAAAAAATACGGTGCGTACTAATTATTTCACTCCTACATCATACAATGGGATAATATATATATATATATATATATATATAATATTATGTTTGTATATATGTATATGTATATATGTATGTAATTATTTTAATATAATTTTTTATGGTTTTATGATATTTTTATTATTTTTAATTTTTGTTAATTTAAAGTCTGACATGATGCCACGTCAAAAAATTTAACGGGTTAGTTAACGTTAGCACGAAGTTTGGGATTTGGCAAACTTTGACTAGTTTAATTTTTTATATAACTTTGTTAATAGTTCATATTATTTTACGAAAATGGAAAAGTTAATATTCAATTTAGAAATTTGAGTAAAGTTCAGTATTTAATATATTATTCTTTATATATATATAATATTTGATTTGAAATATAATTCTAAAAAAATATTTATGGTGGGTTCTAGGATTTGAGGATCCGTTTATGGCGTGTTGCGGCTACGGAGGACGGCCGAACAACTACGACAGGAGAGCGACGTGTGGTCAGCCAGGTTCCACCATTTGCCGCGACGTTACTAAATCTATCGTGTGGGACGGCGTTCACTATTCCGATGCCGCAAATCGCGCGGTTGCTAGCGCCGTTTTGTCAAACCGATACTCCACTCCTCATATCCCCCTTGACCGGTTTTGGTAAACCGGTATTGAGATTAATTAAACCGGATTGGTTACTGAGTTTTTATTTCCTGTTTGGTCACGCACGCAACTATAATAAACTCTACATTACATTATTCCTGTTTTGATCGAATAAGAGAACATATTTTTGCCCAATGGGCTTTCCAACAGACTAAGCAAGTTGAATTTATGGGCTTCTTAGTAATGAACCGGCCCAATATATTCGTAGTTTACCTGAATCAATTCAAAGGATGCAATTTTCAATTTCTTTTTTAAAAAATCAAACGATTAATTATTAGCAGATTATAATTGGTTATTATATCTCGGATTAACGGGCCTAATAATGGGCCTGGGCCTGGGCCTCAAGACCAACCAAAGCAGCGGGAAATAAAATTGGCCGTTGTGCGGCGAGGGGAATGATGCAATGCCACGTGTTATTAAAATGAAGGACTAGGCGCGACTTTCCTTGGCCGTCCGTACACCTTCTGAGACCCTTCACCTTCCCTCCCCCTCGTAAGATCAACTATCATATTCTCTCCTTCCGTCTCGATCTCTCTGCTCAACTCTATTTCTCGAGAAAAAGGATTTTCCTGTCGGAGAGAGAGGGGAGTGATAGGAAGAAATGGATGATAGCTGTGCCGTCTGCGCAGACAATCTCGAGTGGGTTGCGTATGGATCTTGCGGTCACCGTGAGGTTTGCACCACATGCGTCGTTCGTCTCCGTTTCATCTGCGGTGATCGCCGCTGCTGTATCTGCAAAACCGAGTCCCCTTTCATCTTCGTCACCAAGGTTAGGGTTTTCCGAGTGCGCCATTCGTTTATTCTAATCATCTGTGTGCCTTCTCGTTGGGGAAATTTGTATTTTTTTTTGCTTTGAATTTGTGATTAAAAAAATTGTTGAGAAGTGAGACCTGTAGTTTTGCTTGGAATTTGTGGAAATGTCGTTTTCTTTGTTGTTGTAGTGTGAATAATAGCAGGTTCCAGGATTTACCCGTTGTTCAGAATGGCGGTTTCAGTCTTCAGATATCAGTACCTCTGGCAGTAAACGCTCTTTACGTCTATTGCAGGCTTTGGGTGACTATACTCGGACGATCAACGACTTCTCCACATTTCCATCAGAGCGGAAGGATGGCAGGATAGGATCTTTCTGGTATCATGAAGACACTCAAGCTTTCTTTGACGACTTGGACCAGTTCATGATGATCAAGGCAATGTGCAGACTCTCTTGCAGTGTTTGCGACAAAGCAGAGAGACAATCAAAGGAAGGGCCGAAGCATCATGTTCGGTTTAAGAGCGTGGAACAGTTGAAGGGTCATTTATACCATCGCCATGAACTTCATATGTGTAGTTTATGCCTCGAAGGGCGGAAGGTATGGCCTTTGAAAATCTATATGGTTCAATAGCTCTTGCAAATGTTTTCTGATAGTTTCTCTTTTATGCCAGGTATTTATTTGTGAACAAAAGCTGTATACCAGAGCACAACTGGACCAGCACATTAGCACGGGGGATTCGGAAGTTGATGGAAATGAGAACGAAAGAGGGGGATTCACTGGTCATCCTATGTGTGAATTCTGTAGGAACCCGTTTTATGGTGATAATGAACTATATACACACATGTCTACAGAGCACTACACATGTCATATATGCCAAAGGTAATGCTAATCATATTTCATAAAATTTATTTCCAATTCTCCGACGACGAGGGCCTTAAAATAATTTGTGTTTGCTTCAATTTTCAATGCAGGGTGCATCCGGGAAAATATGAATACTACAGAAACTACGAGCACTTGGAGGCAAGATAAAAACCATCTTCACTATATCTTGCCTTCAGAGTTCCAACTAGTTTATTTCTTATGGTAGACTGTGGCTGCATATGTTCTGACACCATCTATCATTGGCGTTAACAGATGCATTTCCGCGGAGACCATTTCCTATGTGAGGATGATTCCTGCCTTGTTAAGAAGTTTATCGTCTTCCATAATGAAGCGGAATTAAAAGTAAGTACTTGTAGTTTTAGGACTTTCTACATTCTGGTATGTTCTGCTGTGATGTTTTTCTCACCGATTATCTTTCAATGTGTTACCACTTTCTTACATTTGTCCTTAGAGGCATAATACTGTTGAACATGGAGGTAAAATGTCCAGGTCTCAGCGAAGTGCTGCATTACAGGTCCGTGTTTTCTTTTTTGGGAACACTATTGTCAGTTACATATTTGCATGCCCGTTTCATATGTTCCTTTATCTTTGTCTTGCCTGCCTTTGATGTTTGATTCTTCTCCAGCAGATACCAACTAGCTTTCGGTACCACAGAGGAAGTGAACGAGAAAATCGTCATGAGCCTTCTGGTGATGATGATGATTTTGTTGCAGCCATTCAGGCTAGCATGGTGACTTCCAGAGCCGAGAGTGCAAGGTTAGTACAGACAGCATCCTCTAATGCACCTGGTTTCTCCGAGTATTCAGCCACTGGAAATGTTCATCCTCTCACTCAACCATTTGAAACTCTTGGAGAATCTTCATTTCCTCCTCTCTCTGTGCAAGCAAGCAATGGTCAATCGAGATCCGGACAGAACTTGGGGAGTTTGCCCAATAACACCATGGCTGCTCGTCTGAGACATCAAAAAAATAGAAGCAGTACAACGACTAGTCCTTCTCCAGCTTGGCCTGCAAGAAATGGCCATGGCCCAGTGCTAGCATCTAGTACAATAGCTGGGAATTCTGCTGCTGCTTGGCCTGCGGTATGTCATGGGCGTCTACAATCTTCTACATCTAGGCTGCCTGCAATTTCACGGGATGCCGATAGTGGCCACATATCTGTTCGGGGAAACTCGTCAGGTTCCACACGGAATTCAGGCAATATGAATAGGATTACCCACTTTTCCTCAGCACTTAATCTTTCTGAAACGAGGCTATTACTAAAGCCTTCTGATTCTTATTTCCCTCCAGTTGCTGCTGCCCAAAATCGCAAGCCATCTACCAATTCACAAGCATCAAACACCTCGGCACCCTCTAGGGACAGAGATGTAAAGTATGCCAACAAGTCTTTGGTCGAAAAAATACGTGCTTGCCTTGGTCATGATGAAGACCTATATGTGTCATTCAAGGACATATCAGGGCAGTATCGGCACGGTTTGGTGGATGCAGAAACTTACTTGGACTATGTGAAGGGCTTTGGCTTGTCTGATTTAGTTCTTGATTTGGCTAGATTGTGCCCTGACCCTAAAAAGCAGAAAGAGCTCATCGATACCCACAATTCCGTTTTGAGAGGAGTCGAACCGCGGGAGAATGGTGGATGGGCGAAAGATAAAGGGAAAGGTGTGAAGGTTGAAAGCAGTAGCAACTCGAGGGATGGGGTATTAGCCGATAGCTTTGTGGACTTGGTCAGGAGGTTGCAGTCTTCTTACAGACCTCAGGACGAAGATGCAGAAGAGCCGATATCCAAAGACGAGGATAACTACGGCCCGGGGAAATCCGAAAGCCAGAAGGATACCTCGTCAAGGGGATTAAAAAAGAGCAAGCAGAGGAAGAAGAAGACGTCGAAATTTCACAGAGTAAGGCTAGGTGAGGGATCAAAGGCTGCATTACTCGATCTAAGGAATTCGGACAGGGGGGCTGAACCAGAGTCAAAGGAAGACAACTCCAACAGAAATGGCACACAGAACCCTCCTACTGGCGGGGTTTGGCGGAAAGGGGAGGTTTAAAATTCTTCACCTGAACTCTTCCAATGTTTAAGCTGTATTGCTTTCACGTTGATATTAGACTGCAGAAATTTTGCAATGGCATTTTGTGGCCACTTGTCTTTCTTTTGAAAAAAAAAAAAATTGGTAGCAGACCGAGTTTACAGACGGAAGCAGAGGAAACCATTTTTTTTTTTGTCTTGATAAGTATTATTAATACTATCCGTAAGCAAACGGCGTCGTTTTAGTTATATACTTACTTATTTAATTTTACAAATATATATTTTTAAATTAAACAAATAATACATATCATTTTTATAAATAAATGTTATCAATAAAAAAAAGAAAAGAAAAACTCGCGATGCATGGTTACCTAATTTTACAATAAAAATAGTAAATAAAGAAACATCAGTTCGGTACTCATCCAGTAAGCAAAGCAAATGTCGTCGTTTTCTATGTTTGGTCGCTTGCCTCGTTTGCTCACAATCGCTTTGGTGTTGACTCTTGAGTCGTGATTTTGTCCCTTTTTCAAGTGTTTTGTGTTTCTCCCAAACTCTCACCTAATCCGCACCACTTTATTTCTGTCTTTATCGTATTAATTTTTATTTGTTTTAATCATCGATACTCTCTCTCTCACATCTTACAAATTTATGTACAAAATTAATATCAATCCAATAACATTTGGAGACGCAGACGCATACAAAACACCATGGCCTGGACATTTCTTTTTCTGTAATAAATTAAAATCAAAATACAGTTTAGTAAATTTGTTTCCTTGTTCTATAGTTTCAAAATTATTAATTTTTTACAAAATTATTATTTTTAGGAAAATAAGTTGTGTGGTTTTGTAGAGAAGGAAACGTCACGAAAGGGAGCGTGTGAGGTGCGGGGGATTCGGTGCGTGGAATGAATAGAATGGGAGCCCTCAAGTCGGGAAACCGGCTGGGGTTGGTGATTGACCGGTAGTACCCGGTCTTACAGAAAAAAAAAAACAAAATACTAATTACGGCTTCATTAATTTTTAATTACACCCACGTCGACGCGGAACAGGTGAAGTGTCATTCTCCCTAACCAACTGCTGCGATATCTCCAACCGTTGAAGTTTCATCTCCGTTGCATCGGACGGCTGTGATTAATTGCGCACCCTAACTTTGCTAACCTGAATTTTAGGTGATCACGGTTGTTGGGGGTGGGGGAGTAATGTAATTCAATATTTTCTTAGACAAAGATTGTGAGTTTTTCCTGTGAATCCATGGTAAAATAATTATTTTTCCTTAATTCACTAGAGCTCCAATTAAACCCAAATAAAGATTATATTTAAGAATGACCAGAAAATCTTTAGATATTCGTCATCCATAGCTAGAAAAGAAAATCCTTAGATTGTGATTTTAATAAGGTTAATTACCTTTTTTATTAATGAAAATGAGAGTATATGTGATCAGTTGAATTAAACGCTTGGATCTGAGCTAATTAATGGCCTAACATAATACGCATAAGTTGAATCACACACACATACACGTATACACTTCAGTTTAAAATGTTCAACCGGTTAAGCCGGTAAGCAAGTTAAGAGATGCGGATGTCCTATAAAAGGGGAAGGTGTGCGGACGGAGCGTCCAGTGCCTCGGTGTCGGCTCCTCTCAGATTTTCTCTCTAACTTTCATAACTTCGCTCCCTCCACAGGTCTCTCTCTCTCTCTCCCTACTCTTGATTTGAACTTTTGACAGGTCTGCGTTGATGTTTTTGCTGTTCGGTTTGAGCTCGCGAATCGATGGGGATTTTTGCTCTGGAGTTGTTTGATTTTATTGTTGTTTTGGGTATCATTTTTTTTCCTGCACTTAGGCGTTCGAGGAATGTCTCTATGGGACCCTTTTTCGGCGAATCCGGGGCGTGGCAGTAACATTTTCAAAGATTTAGTTCGAGTTTCCGATTAGGATTCAATCGTGGGCGACAGTCACTTGTTAGATCGATCCAGATCTGTCTTATTCTTTTTCCCGCTCATCTGTTTTGCTTTGTAATCTGTCCTTTGATTTGATCGTTCTTCGGCTGAAACATTTAACATCGTTTCCGCATATATTGCTCTTTACCATTTGGATCGAGGGATAAACGATGTAGTTCCATTAGATGTCGACTGACATTGAATACACAGTGTTTGGAAAAAGATTTACTTCTGTTCTTTCTTGGGAATTTTGTTTTCCTTTTGGTTTCTTTCACCTCCTTTTGGTTTTCGGTTCTAGAATCTAATGGTGGTCTTTCGTCATGTATGGATTTATGACTTGGCATGAACTTATTGTGTTGACGAGATTGTTTTTTTCCTGATGTGGGTTTGTTCTCTCTTTTATGGTTTTTGTGAGTTGTAGCTTGTAAGATATGGAGACGTTTCTATTCACATCCGAGTCTGTCAACGAGGGACACCCCGACAAGCTGTGTGACCAGGTGTCTGATGCTGTCCTTGACGCCTGCCTCGAGCAAGACCCTGACAGCAAGGTTGCATGTGAAACTTGCACAAAGACCAACATGGTCATGGTTTTCGGAGAAATCACCACCAAGGCCAAGGTTGACTACGAGAAGATAGTCCGTGACACATGCCGCAACATCGGTTTTGTCTCTGCCGATGTCGGTCTTGACGCTGACAACTGCAACGTGCTGGTCAACATCGAGGAGCAGAGCCCCGATATTGCTCAGGGTGTCCATGGTCATTTCACCAAGCGCCCGGAAGAGATCGGAGCCGGTGACCAGGGTCACATGTTCGGGTATGCCACCGACGAGACCCCCGAGTTCATGCCCCTCAGCCATGTGCTTGCCACAAAGCTCGGTGCTCGCCTCACCGAGGTGAGGAAGAACGGGACTTGTCCATGGGTGAGACCTGATGGCAAGACTCAGGTGACGGTTGAGTACCAGAACGAAAACGGTGCCATGGTCCCTGACCGTGTCCACACCGTTCTCATCTCCACCCAACACGACGAGACAGTCACAAACGACGAGATTGCCCGTGATCTCAAGGAGCATGTGATCAAGCCCGTCATCCCGGAGAAATACCTCGACGAGAAAACCATCTTCCACCTCAACCCGTCAGGCCGGTTTGTCATCGGTGGACCCCACGGGGATGCTGGTTTGACCGGACGAAAGATCATCATAGACACTTACGGTGGTTGGGGAGCCCATGGTGGTGGGGCATTCTCAGGGAAGGACCCATCAAAGGTGGACAGAAGCGGAGCTTACATAGCCAGGCAGGCTGCCAAGAGCATAGTGGCCAATGGACTTGCTCGAAGGGCACTGGTTCAGGTCTCGTACGCCATTGGAGTGCCCGAGCCATTATCAGTCTTTGTCGACACATATGGAACAGGTAAGATCCCCGACAAGGAGACTCTGAAGATTGTGAAAGAGAGCTTTGATTTCAGACCAGGAATGATCTCCATTAACCTCGACCTCAAGAGAGGAGGCAGTGGAAGGTTCTTGAAGACTGCGGCTTATGGGCACTTCGGTCGGGAGGACACTGACTTCACCTGGGAGGTGGTGAAGCCTCTCAAGTGGGAGAAGCCTCTATCTTAATAATGGACCCATTTCGCCCTTACAAGTGGCTTGGCTTATGTCTTCTTACCCGTTTGTATTCATTCTGATGTTTTAAAAACTCTCTCCGCTCTGTCCTTGGGAATTTCTAATTCTGTTTTTGGTTTGGTTTCTTTGTTGATCGTTGTATTGTATTTTACCCATTTTGTTTTAGATTTGGTTCTTTCTTCTGCTGCTTGTCGATAGAGGTGTCAAAAAAACCCGAGCCCGATACCCGGTTTGAATCCGTCTATAAAATTTACGGGTTTAGACTTCAAAAAACAAAGCCCGTTTGTTTTTTGGATTGATCCGACCCGACCAGAAAAATTGCGGAACAATAGCGGGTTCGGGCCGGCCCGATCCATAGACCCGATTAAAATATAAATTATATATAAATATATACATATATCGGTAAATATATATACGTCCATATATATTCACATATATTTAATCATATATATATACATTTATTCAATCTTTTATATACACACATATATATATATAATCTATATATATGTATTAAAAATATAAAAATATTATATAATATAGAGAATTATAAAAAACTAAATTTTTTTAAACTAAATAATTTAAGATATAATATTTTCATAGATGATATCATCAAAATTACAATACTATTAATTTCAAATAATTATTCCAATTGAAAAATATAATAATTTAATATTTTTAAAATTTTATTATCATATAAAATTAAAGAATTCAAATTTTAATTTATATTAAATCAAAATATATAACTTTGTTATCCATTTTTTTATCTTTCTATTATCACAAAATGTATTAAATTTTTTGTCTTTTAATTATAATTTATTTTGATTTTATTTTTTAAAAATTTTAAACCCAAAACCCAACCCAAACCCCAAAAAAAAACCCAAAAGGCTGGGGTTCCAGACCGAAAATTTTAGGCCGGCTCGTGTTTTGGGTCGGACCGGCCTGACCCATAAATATCCGGTGCTTACGATGCACCCAAGTGCATCTAATAATCTCTCCGTCACGGTGGTCTGCGAGGCATAGGATTAGTGTCCACCATGAACGGTGGGGTAAGTCTAGGACACTGCTACACATGGGAAAAGGCATCTTTATCTATTTTTTAATTTTTTAATCCGAGGGAGGGAGACACTCTGTGGACTAGTGGTCCCCACCACAGTTTTCATTTTTTTTGGTACTTATTTACGGATAATTCCATTTAAAACTCTGTACTTTTCTCTCATCGCAATTTAAATCCTATACTTTTTTGATCCAAAAAAACATTGTACTTTTAAAAATTGGCAATTAAAACTCTATACTTTTAAAAATTAGCAAATAAAACCCTGAACAAAAAAATATATTATTTAATGTTGACATTGCATCCTAGTCATCTACCACATCATCAATCCCTAATATTTAATAATATTAATTAATACAAAATAAAAATAAAATAATAATAATAATAAAAAATAAAATTTTAAAAATTATACACATACATATATAATGAAATGATATACATATATACACATATATAAACATATTTATATATATACATACATATATATAATACATATATATATATATGTTTTATATGCATATGTGGTATACGTATTTTTTTTCTAAAAATCATGCATATGTCACATATATATATGATTTTTAGAAAAGTATGTATATATCACACATATATATAAAACATATTTATATATACATATATATATGTATGTATTATATAGATATATGTGTATATATAAATATGTTTTATGTATGTGTGTTATATGATTTTTTTCCTAAAAATCATACATATATATATATAATGTTTTTTAGGGAAAAATACATATATAACACATACATATAAAATATAGGGATAATTCCATTTAAAACCATGTACTTTTCTCTCGTCGCAATTTAAACCCTATACTTTTTTTTGATCCAAAAAAACATTGTACTTTTAAAAATTGGCAATTAAAACTCTATACTTTTAAAAATTGGCAAATAAAACCCTGAACGAAAAAATATATTATTTAATGCTGACATGGCATCCTAGTCATCTGCCACATCATCAATCCCTAATATTTAATAATATTAATTAATATAAAATAAAAATAAAATAATAAAAATAAAAATAAAAATTTAAAAATTATACACATACATATATAATGAAATGATATACATATATACACATATATAAACATATTTATATATATACACACATATATATAATACATATATATATATATATATATGTTTTATATGCATATGTGGTATATGTATTTTTTTTTCTAAAAATTATGCATATGTCACATATATATATGATTTTTAGAAAA